TTTCCACTGCCATGTCATATTCAGAAAAGCCGGGATCGTATTAACCCATTACGCGATATACATATTCACCCCCCCTTTTGTTGTCTCAAATGGTGAAAAAATGCCTTATTTAGGCCCCCAACACTTGTTTTTGGTTGAGAAATGTTGTTTAAAAAAGTGACCACTTTTTCGGCGCGGCCCCCAACCAAAAGATACATCAGGGGGTCGCCAGAAGGGGATGTGCCCCCTTCTGTTCGGGGGGTTTAAAGGGGGCGGCAGTCCCCCTCATCGACAAAAAAAATTTGAACTTGTGACAGGCTAAAAATGACCCCAGATCGATCATAAGGTAACGTGTAACCAACGCTGAAAAGCATTTGACTCTATATCAATCCATTAAGAAGTTGCAGCACTTTGAAATCAATTTTGATGGAAAAAATCTTTTTTGTTATCAATTATGTTAAGTATATCTTATGATCTTTTCTAAAAATAATATTTAAATACTTGAACATAAAATTTAGCCAAATATTATATTAACAAAAACTTTGATTTTTTTCAATTAGACATATAATTACAAGTATTGCGATTTCCTCAGTTTAAGTTTGTTAATAAATAGCTCTAAATATATTTAAATCTTAAGTTAAATTAATTTACCATTCACTACATACAATAAAAAATAAAAAGCTATCGTTTAATCGCCTTTCATTACGACCATAATCAACACAAATAAAGTTTATTCCTTTTCCCTATATATCTAATACTATCCCGGATCCCGGGATTTTCCCCCACCCTAAATACCGGAAAAGATAAAATGACCGGAAAAAAAGAAAAAGAAAAAAATGCACAGAACTAGATGAACACTTATGTTAATTAACCAAACGAAAACTTACTACAGAGAAACCAGGTGAAATCGCTAAATCAAAAGTCAGTGTAAATATGATTTATTGAAAAGAATTCATGAAAACAAACATTTTTATCATCATTATATCTTTGCGCTCAAAGCAATACTTGCTGCTTTTTAAAAATGGCGTGAAAATTGAAGGTTTTTTGACGCTATGTAAGATTAAATTTGATTGGCTAAATAATTTTGGATTCCAGCCCTGACAGATAAATTTTGTAGAAAGCTGGAAGCCAAGCTTCGATTAAATTTTTGGATGGATTCGGAGATTTAGATTGTTTCTCAACAAAATCCTAACGTAATACCGGCTCGCCGTGGCGAGCCGGCATAAGCAGCCGTATTATCATTCGGTAACACTAAATAAGTCAAAGAAATCCAAATGGAATGCAAAAAATAATTTCTTTTTACACCTCTTTATTATTGATATAAAAAACGACTCACGTCATTTTAAATGTCTTGACAGGACAAACTAAAATACATAGTTTCGTTTTAGGGTTTTGTATGTACCAGTTAGCGTTTCTCTTCGAAATTGTGCTGTACCTTTTTTGAATGCCTTTGTTTCTTTTAATTCTTTCATGATGTATATACATTTTAACCTACCTAAACCTAGATGTATTTATCAAACAGCAGGTGACTTATAAATAATTTGTTCAATCGCTCAATGACACCACCTCCCGTGGCCTGGATTTCTCTCTCTCATATTTTTGATAGACCTATATGTAAGAAACCATACAGGCGGTCCCAATAAACAAACACACATAAACGTTCTAAGCTTATATTCATGTTGCGCTGTTAATTATCCTCTGAAATATTTTCTTTGTGTTTGAAAGAAATTCTTTCGTGCATATATCATCAGAAGAACTATAGATACAGAAATTTTGTATGAAGTTCATTTCTCATAGGTTGGGAAGAAGACAATCTAGAAAATGCTGTTTATACTTTTGTAAAATATCTTCTTGTTGTTGATGTTGATGATGGTGCTGAATGATTTGATTTAAATTGATTTAAACATATTTTATTGCCAAAAATAAGACATATACATACATGTAGACAGTTACAATACAATGACATGACATATTTGGCAAAAGGGTTGACCCACAAGTTCTCTCAACATTAGCAACGGGTCTTCCCTGAAATGATGATGATGATGATGATAGTAATAATGATGATGATAATGCTGCTGCTGCTTTTGCTGCTGCTGATGATGATGATTATAATGATGATGATTATAATAATAATAATTATTATTATTATAATTAGTATTATATTATTATTATTATTATTATTATAATTCGTATTATTATATTATTATTATTATTATTATTATTATTATCTTAAACATGATGATGATCAGATGACTTTTTCTTCAACGGATTATACCACATTTAGTAGACAGTGCGATTCAAATCATAAGAAAATATAAATCTGTAGACGTATATTCTACAATAAAATGAATTACTTAGTTCATTTTGTCTTTTAAACAAATTTTTACTTAATTCTCCATAGTCTTTTCCATAGTTATTTCAAACTTTTAAGTAAATTTCTATGAACATATATGTTGCGTGTTTATTGTGTTGGTTGATTTAAAACTAATAAATTTGTTTTCTATAACTTGATGTAATTTGCATGATATCTGAACATTCCGCATAGGCTGGGGGACTATTCTGAAGTAATCAGCAGTGAAATAATACTGTTAACTGTGAATAGCAGACATTTGGAAATACTTTATAGCCGTTTCCTTCATCTATGAATTGTTCGTTTTTGTTAAGTTGTTTCAATTCTAATGTATAAACTGCATTATTATATGAGCCAATTGCGTGATGATGATTATATTTGATTGCTGTATCTGCTAATTTCAGCGGGGGAATCGTGCAAGATGTGAACCTAATGTCTCTCTTTCGTTGAATCTGCTGTGTACAAATAAGTTTCGATCATATAGTAAAATGCATATAGGACAATTGAGTTAATCAACATGTGTATGACAATTTTGATATCAAGAGAAAAAATATCAAGAAAAAGGTAGAGGAATGTAAGATAATGAATTACAAATTGTTTGGAAAATATCATTGGACAAAACTGTTACTTCTTCCAATTGCCCAACATGCCAGATGTTTACTAACAACATTAGTGAAATGATTCTTTTTTTTCAAGATTAATGACTTTCGAAATTTATCATGACTGAAATTGCCATGTTTCTTCATTATTTTAATAAAGCCGAAACTGTTGTGAGATCTCTGACAGTGAAACTTGTACGTATTAATAGTAAAAGTATGTAATTATGTCATTAAAATTTGAAAATGTTCGCGTCGATGACAATTATTCTACATACATAAAATTAATGTCCTTTTTCTAAGGTTAACATCTATTTTTTTCATGTAGCACTGAGTACATATATAGAAAACTGTCTAGTTTATAAATGATATATTGTTTCATGAAAGCATTTATCATACAGAAATGCGGTAAGATACATAATCACATCTGTTATAATATTTTATTTTCATTTTATTTCTATTTATTTAATGACAAGCAGGAAGTATTTGTCCCTCAAGCTAGACAATATACAATTAAAAAAATAGAAGGTAAATAGACAACAGTGAAACATTGAAACTTTTGTAAGAGAAATTAAAACGCTTTACATGAAGCAAACAAATATTTCAGTATCCAATTATAGTGATGACAATGTTTATTCCAAATTTCATTATTTTTATCAAAAAAAAAAAAAAACAAAAAAAAAAACATTTTGAATGAGCAAAAATAAATAAGGAAAAAGAGAAACGTTCCTTTTGCCTTGTTGATCTTTATTCTCGTTTTTGTATGTCTTTTCATACTGTATTTTTTTATTCTATGAAACAAAATTGTTCAAAACAGACATAAACGTAAGGAGATAGGGTCAAACATTTTTAAGAATTATTGGTAGAAGTGTAGATTTGATATGCGTTTGAACTTAACTAAATGATCAAGTGTACCCGGCTTAAGAAATACATTTGAGCTCTGCCTTTTTATTTGATTTTGTAAAATAATACAGTTTGAATGTAAAATTTGGAAACTCATTTTAATCTACAAAATGTGTAAGTTGAAAGAATTTGAAAGGTGTTTTAATTCGAAAATTCTTAATGATATACCAGAGAAGTCAAAAGTTAGCGTTCCATTCAGTACAATATTACTTCTTACCAGATTACAGAGCTATGCAATATTGTCTTACAATTGTAAAAACAACAAAAAACAACACTAACCACACATATGCGATCAACATGAGTAAGCAACTTTTATGAAACGCAACCTAAGGTCAGAAAGGAGCATCGATGTGGCACCTAGCAGGGCAAATATGCACACAGTGTTCACTAGCGAGAACAGACTATGATCAAATAAATTAAATATTGATATCTTGTAAAACAGAATAAGCGACCGACAAACAATATAATTTATTAGACTGTTTGAAAGACAAGGATCGGACACTTTGACTACTGTTAAACACCCAAGAGAGATAATAGACTGCTCAGACAGAATGTTTGATGGGCGTACGTTAATGCAATCTTACAAACTCTGGCCCGATAATTGATATTCGCTACACAGTTCTATATATGATACCTCTCAGACAAAATACCAAGTCTTGGACGTTGCGCCTGTCAGAAGTATTTATTATCTCCCATCAATGATAAATATGAACACTGCCAAGAATTAAAATTACTTTACCAATGCTTAAAACACCTTAAGCCATTATTTCACTCTTCATACTCCTCTTACATTTGGAATAACTAAAGCTTTATATATAAATACTTATTGTCATATTTTGTCATAATGCATTTATTCAATTTATTTGAAGATCTGTCACAACCTTATAATTTCTGTAGATATGTCATGACACTATAAGCGTACAAGCGTAACGGTTCAGACTATACTTACTGTCTTAAAATTTGTGAATGTGTTTTCATCATCTTTATCATTGTGAAAATCATAATCACCATCATCATCATCATTAACAACAACACCATCGTCATTATCGTTGGGTAATTGTTAGTTTTGATACATGTATGCATAACTTCTGTTAATCTTATTATTTCAAATATTATTATTGTTAGTGATATAACAAATTTAACCTGCAATATTTTATACCATATCATTTCAGGTAACAAAATATTGGAGTCTAAGTGACGAACTTTGTGATGCTTGGGTTGCTTTTGACGTTATGGCTTGCACTGCATCAATTCTAAATCTTACCGCCATAAGTGTTGACAGGTAGGTTTACGTATATATAAATAGTCCATTAACGTTTTAATAATTATTGCACACCTAAAACGTGTGGACATATCCGTCTCAAATAGTTTAATAATATAAAAGAAATTACGTCTAAACTTAGTTCATCCAGCATTGATTCCTTAGATTTGAAGTATCTTTCGCGGTTGCCTATGTAGACAATAGTTCTGCTGCTACCGAGCCATTAAACATTGTACTTCAAAAATGCCAGCTGTTTATGTATAATCCACAGAATATCGGTCGTTCAACCTGGAATCCTTTACGTCTGAAATTATAAGTATTCATAATCATTGATATTTTCAACATGGCATTCTAAACTTTCATTATGATCAAAAAATTGTTTTTTTCCCGATTATGAACAAAGTAATAGCAAGGAAATGATCAACATTCATGTGAATCATCATCAAATCTCGGATGATGTAAGCGTAAATTAAAATGCCTGATTCGTATTCTAAAGATTTATCTTACAACGTCATCAAGTGTTATAAGCCTATTAACATTTACATTATCTTCTATACTGTATTTAATACTAACCACAAGTGTCATAAAAACAGGTTGTAGTAAACAAATTCTCACTGTATGGTGTAAGCAGTATAGATATATGTGAAAATCATAGATATGTTTATTGTCATTATCTGACAGTATGTTTGAAGTCTAATTGTTTTCTGAATATAAACAAGATTCTTTTTTGTGAATCATTTACAAATAACGATGAACGAAAAACTGACAATTATGTTGCACCGAATCTCCCCCCTAATGTTTAAAACTCAAATGTCTCGATCAACATGCTATCCATGTGATAATGACTAATAAGCTACCCAGTTACGTCAATGTCGTTTCATTGTAACTTCTCCAGTAAGTCTAAAACGTATTTTAAAGACAGTAATTGCTAAATATCAGGTGTAATGTCATCAAACTTTACATAAGAATAGATAAGATGTAATTTTTTATAGAAGCCCAGAAGAATGTAACTCGAAACTTATTTTGACATATGAGAAAAGACAACAAATCAAACCCGGTTTTATCTCAGGGAAACTCGAATCTGTTATTCTTAAATATCACATCATTCAGCATTCTAAATACATCAATTTAAAACAAAAAATGCAATTTATTTAAGATGTCTTTAAGTAAAGTTTTTATTGCTAAGATAGAATGAATGTATAGACACAAAGCTAATAGAACGCAGATTTCAAGATATTCCTTTGCCAATTTAAACATTGACGATACATAAAGTAAATATGTTTATTTTCGTAAATTGCTATCTTTTATTTTGGATCAATGGAATCCAGACTTTATAATTCTGCCAAATAGATATGGAAAGGAAGTATATTTGAATGATTGTACCATTTATCTTGCAGACAATGTGAATGTCTAGGAAAGAGTATTTATTGAATAAACTTCTGACAACCTTGTAAAAACAAACATATTGTCTAAATGTATACTTACACCCCAGTGTTATAGCTATCTTTAAAAAAACTGGATACACAGGTTATGCATAAGTTTTCAGTGAGAGTTTTGACAGTTCTATCAGCGAAAAGTGCACTTTAATCTCCATGCGGATCTTTATATAAAATACATATTCTATTCTGAAGAAATTATAACAGTACATTAAATAAAAAAGTATGATACGAAAGCTGATTACATTGATAAAGTTCAGCAAATGTCAGCAACATCAGTTAGTTAACTCAAGTCTAGGGAAACGGCCAGTTTTTGAGTTGCGTACAATGAGAATTATAGTACGGACCATGCTATGGTTATTTCCTGATGTATCGAAATTATCTTTTTCATTAATTGTTATAGATATGTAATCGTCTATGTTCACACTTTATGTGTCTAACTGAAACGAACGATGTGGCTATGATATGTCTTGGATCTGATTTGATTTTGATTTAAACATATTTTATTGCCAAAAATAAGACATATACATACATGTAGACAGTTACAATACAATGACATGCCATATTTGGCAAAAGGGTTGACCCACAAGTTCACTCAACATTAGCACCGGGTCTTGCCTGATGCAATAAATTACAATAATATATTTTACAAGAATGACTCAGTTAGATAGAAGCAACAAAACTAACACATATATAGTAAGTACTTGGCTTTAAAAAATGATTTTAGGTAAGAAAGAACAATAAAAATGATTGGGTGTACATGTTCTCTAGCTTGAATAGTATTTAACGATGTTAACTGATTTTTATATAATTTGCGTTACAATGACTTAGAAAACATGTACATTTGCCAGATATAACAAAAACAAATATAATGCAAATAAATTTTGAGAAAATGAAATATAGAAGGAAAAAAGAAGAAGAAGAAAGGAAAGAATCTTGTCTGTTGTTTTGCAAAAATGAAAGAAAAATACATTAATATGTATTAGGATTGTGCTGTCTTGGATCTGATAATATAGTTGAATGTTTCAAATTTTGTTTTGTACGTTAAGTAAATTAAAAGAAATGGGCATGGTATGACATGGCATGGCATACGTACGTACGTACGTTCACCCATACATACAGAGAGACAGACAGATATACGTACATACTACAAGTATAAGTGCACATTTTTTTATAGCAAGGGCTATTTATATCATCTCACCGTAAAAAGAAATGGTTATTTCTGATTTTCCTAAGAATTTCCTTGCACTGACTAGGCTTCTCTGTTGTTATAAGATAGAATCACATGTTGTTGATTATTCCTGTTTGTCATATTATATGATCTGGTTGTCAGTATTTACTTTTGTGCACTGATACAAGTGGGCACAGCATATCTTTAAGGCATTCAATACAAGGTCAGAAATAATAACTGTCTGGTTTGGTATTTATTATTTATGTATAAGGTTAAAGATTTAGCAGCTTAATGACAAATGTCACAATATTCGAACTTTAGCACATTTATGGTTACCCCATATAATATATCCTTGAAAAAAAAACACGCTGTTTATTCATTTATTTATGGGAACAATTTATCAAGTCATACGATAAGCCATAATTATTATTAAATTTCAGTAATTGAGAATGGCACCTACCTTCCGGAGAAATGATTAATGTTTAGGCCATCTTTTCAGATTTTACATCAAATATATTTACAAAATTTAAAAGAGTCAATATGGCGACTACTCATAATACTTGTTTTTTTGTAAATGGCATTTAGTTGTTCATACTTTATTAGTTGATGATTGTGTATGGGGATAATTCTATCTGTCCGAATTAAAAATAATTTTTACTGTTTTTCTTTTCATTTATGTTTTGATTTTAAATCCGAGACTTTTTGACGCGGTTCAAAAACATCATCGTGTAATGATATTGTATTCTTACGCAACTAACCTACGTGACATTGCAACACGAAATATCGGATACGTTATCTCTAAAGACAAGACGTAAATATGCCAGTCTGTGATTATTTTAAAGAATAATTACCTCTAGGACAAGCTTGTAAGGCTTACTGAATTCTTAGAAAAGGGACGAAAACATTTGTGTAGCTTCCGAGCTGAAGAAAAGCTACCACCCGTTGGCGATCAATTATAGATGTCTTTAACCATGCGTCAGTATCGAAACAAAGAGAAAAGCGTGCTAAATAAGCAGTCATCCATCTAACTCCGTCATACGGTTTTACAGAATTAGCGAAATAAACCCCCGGGATATCAACAAATATATAAGACTGTCTGCTTTTTTTCATTGAGAAATTTCTTGTTTTTGAAGTTCTCATTTCCAGTTATAATAAGAACGTGTAATCTGTTTGCTATTTATGTTGATGACATTGTATATATTCCAAACTTTTACATACATGTAACAGTTGTTTCAATGTTTTCTTTTTTGTCCTCTGATATTTATAAACTGACACAACATTATAATACTTGAATAGTTTGTATTTTGCCATGATTAAGAGTCTCGCTCTAAAATTCACTCAAACGTATTATAATGAATGCATGTCATGACTTTGGCTGTCATATCATATTTATTTCTGTCTAACTATTTCATGCTCTGTCATCATCTTATATCAGCAATTCATATCATAGAGTTTCCATCGGCCAGTGTGAAGCCGAAAGTCGTCACGTGACATTTTCAGTGTCAGTGTTACTTAACCATCCCCCACATTCAAACTAAATAGAAAAACAAACACATTTACAATTATTATATCATATCGTTTCGCATCAAACTACATAAAACTTGTTTCAAAAAATTGATATCTAAATTTGCGACAAAGTCGATAAAAGTTATTTTCTATATAAAATGTAATTTACTCAGTAAAGCAACATTAATGGGAAATGTCTAGTTTGTATACGAGTAGGTCTCCACTTACACGTATTTAACCTACATGATATCTGTAGATAATCTTAAATAATTGATGGTACACATTTGAAATCACGAAATGTTTTATTTTACATATATGACAAAGATTATATGGTTATGTACTATAAAGAATAGTCATCGTGTGTTCCGCGGTATTTTTTGTTGAAATTTTGTAATGATACAACGGACTCACCCTGAATTATTTATTTTACCAGTACTGGTTGCATTTTTACTTTTCTGTAACACGTCCATCAAAGTTTTGGTCAATGATTTAGGACAATGACATTAATGTCAATCTGTTATGTCTATTTGGTGCGATACGTATGCAAATTAACACACTTTCGGAATACCACGGTTTCATTATGTACCAAACGTTTAACATGCATAATGCAATGTCATTTGGTATCGTAGAAATAATTTAGGTTGTTTTCAGGAAATGCATGCTCAAGGGCAGATTGTCAGTTGAGTTGGAGCGGCCTCTACACATCATTTTGCTCTCTACTTTAAAGACATCTTACACTTCATCTGTAAAACACTCTGGCGTCGTTCTACTTGAAAAAATACTCAAAATCATGTGAAGCTTACAACACTGCTTACTTGTAACGTGTGACGACAAACTGTTATGTAATATTTCTAATAAGATTCTCGATTTCTTAACAAATATACGTAAGAAAACAGTAGCATTACACCCTATCTGAACCCTGAACTTACTATTGCATTAATTTCATAGGACGTTGCCTGATTTAGGGTTCGACAAACTCTTCTAATTCTGGGGGAATGCCTATTCCCATCCGGCAATATTCTGACGTAATTGGTCGCTGCGTAATATTCCAAACATGTTTGAATGGAGGCATGCAGTGGGATTGCTACATTGTCAAAATGTATTTGTATCTAAAATGGTCAATGCGATGTCTTGTTTGTCAGTAAAGGAAACATAAATTGAAACAATGTACAATTTCATTGATAATATAAATATCGGTATTTTATAAGGATAAGATAATAACAATGAGTATCTTAGTTATTGTCCTTTCGTCACACGGTCAAATATATCAGAATATTCGTCTCTCAGCCTTTATAAGATAACGGTCAGATATTCTGAGTATGCATTTGCATTATAACCCGTTTTCTTAAGCACATGCTCAAAACACATACAATTTTATTACAACGCGCAAGTTTGGTATTATCAATGTCTACACATGACCACTATAAAGCATTGAGATGCTTCGATACACCTTTAAATGTGTATATATCAGAGTTAATTGTTAACTTTTCTTTAATTTATGTATTATTTAAACAACAATAATTACATACACTTTAGAAACATAATCTAGAAGAAGTCAATACATTTTTAATGTGTAATTGAACTGGTATGTCATAATTGTTTTTGTATTTATTTTTATACTTATAAAGCATTCAACATACATAATGACTGTGCCGATCTGTAAATAGTAGTTTTATACATGTATATAATATCTTATATTTTATGATTTCAGATTCATTGCCGTAACCCAACCTATAAAATATGCCAAACACAAGAATTCAAAAAGAGTGCACGTGATGCTCGCACTCACGTGGGTGGTATCCGTAGCAATTGCGGCACCGATAGCACTTGGAGTTAACTATTCTGACGCACGGGTACCGGGATCATGTAGCTTCTTTAACTCGGATTTCTTAATTTATTCGTCCATGGGCTCGTTTTATATTCCTTCACTAATAATGATTTTTCTATATTGGAGGATTTATAGAGTTTTAAGACTAAGAGCTAGGCGATCATTAGCGCATAAGAAAGCTAGGTCAATAGATACGCAAACATTGACTAATGTAATAGAAAATCAAGCGGTTAACGAGCCAACTGTCAAAACAGGTCTTGCCACAATGGACAATGGAAAAGTGTCTAGTTATAATACTACTGCAAATAATTTTGACAAATCTAATCATAGAGAAGTTCATGAAACTCATATAGACGATCCGTCAACCTCCAACCCTCCAACGGATTCCCAAGAACGGGACGAAGACGAGGAAAGTGATTCTAAAAGTCCTGTTCATTTACCTGCAGAAGGGGAACTAATCGTTAACCCTGTTGCTGAAGACATTGAACGACAGGAACAATTATCATGTAAGAAAATTGAGCCTGTACCGGTTATATCACTTCCAGAGGTTGAAGAAACAAATTTTGTTTCTAAAGACGGTAAAACTGTCAATCACGATAACAAAGATGACAGCAGTAGTGGAGAGAAAACTAGCTCCGACGGAAAAGGTCGTCGGAAGAAAGACAAAAAGAATATGACAAAATTTAATTTTCACATGAGAACTAGTCGGAAACGGAAGGAGAAATCTTCTTCTAGAAGAGAAAGAAAAGCAACAAAAACCTTAGCCATTGTATTAGGTAAGTTAATTATCAATTTTTCTAAAATCGTTAAACTTTTCACGCATTATTTAAAAATGACATCAACCGTACACTTCACTAAGGTTTCTTGCGTCGTGAGGCTTGATGACAAAAATGTGTTAAACATAAAGACAATCTTACAAGGGCGTTCTGTTCTGATGGTTTTGTTTCATTCGGTTTAGAAAAGCAAATTTATGTAATCAACGATTGCAATACTTTCTATTCGAGTAGTAAACTTATATCATTTCCCTTTTATTATCATTATTTCCATCATCATCATCATCATCATCATCATCATAATATTATTATTATTATTATTATTATTATTATTATGGGTATACTTTCATATCTTCTATAAAAAAAACTCGCTAAGTATTTTTTTCCTAATGAATAGGCTACGCATCAGGTAACCGCAGTTATGGAAAAAGCGTATGAACACATATAACATCGACACATGTTTGTTACGTAACAACCTGAGCAATAAATTGTTAAAAAAATGGTAAAGATATATTTTATAATGGTCGTATTTTCATCATTTAATTCGTCATGTCGTGGCTATATTTCAAAATAAAAACAAGCGACGTCATATGATAAGAAATGATATGCAAAGATATGCGATACAATCTTCTAATTTGTTTTCTCTTGGATACCTATCAACTATCTCGGAACAGCATAAAATGAATGATATATTCGGTTACCTTTAGTATAAGGGAAGTAAATTTGATTGAAGAACTCGTATTTTACTTCCATAGTAGCAGAGTTCTGCGAAACGAGATTTTTAGTGTAGCTTCACATTCTCTATTATTGATCATAACTTTAAAATCCTGATACAGCTGAACAGTTATAGAGATTTTTTTATGGCAAAGTATTTTAGTTCGGTGTTTGGACAACTTCCTAAATACCAACAAAACAATAAAAATTCAGTTTAAATACATTTTAAATGCATTTTTGTCTATTTTGCCAAAATCTTTTATAAAACAAAGCATATGTCTGTGCTTATGGCAGGATACGTTTGTACTGAATTCAAAATCCACAAATATTTATTGTGTTGTGTGTAGGCTGTTGTTTTGTTAAAGGATGATACTAAATGGTTTATTAACAGCACGGTGTGCGCAAAAAGTCTACGTGTATTCACAACGTATATGTCTCGTATGTATAAATATAAAATTGATTTAAGGAGAGTATAAAAAACTAAATAGTTTAGGTACATGCACCCCTTTCTGCCAGCTTGAAGATGTATGTTGAATTAAAGATAATGAATAAATTCATGTTCCGGGGATAAAAATTGATAATGTCGTCATAAAATACTCAAAGATAAATACTTTTTTGCAAAATGATGCCGATTTTGAAGTAATTATAAGGTTTATAAAGATTAGTCTTTTCAAAAAAGGCGTTAGGACAAAAGCCAAACATTATATGACAGATTTATAGATACATTTGCTTAGACCGATTTAGAATTTGGAATAACTAAACTGAATACTGGAATGATAGAACTATATAGTAATCACTACCTGTAAAAATGTCTTATTATTTTGTAATAAAGCAAACGTCACAAACAGCTGTTTATTGTATCTGTTAATACACCTTATATAACTAAATAAAAATATCTTCTCAAATAATAAACACTTCGCAATCTGAAATACAACAATCAGAATTAATCATTTTACTCCTCCACTGTTCATGGATAAATAAGGTAATCGTAACCAATAAGTATTAAACTTACGTATACGTTCATGTACATAATTTCTGAAACACACAAGTTAATGATAACATTTTAGGAAAATATTTATTATGTATTTTTCACAAATTACGTATTAACTTTACTTTCAAAATATATTCAAAAGCCAGTAAACCGTTACTTTACTTTTTATATTTTTTTTCTAAAAATCTTTATTATTAAATCATGTAACATCCGTTCAATTCTATATACGTCATGTTTATTTCCTTGCAAGCTGTTTTTTTATTATTTTTTATATATATGTACAAGAAAATATAACACAGTGTTCTTATTTCAATAAAATTACGTGTTCAGGACAATTTTGTGATACTTATTAAATATAGAAATCCCTTCTTGCTATAAATAGATTACTTATTAAGTATAGAAATCCCTTCTTGCTATAAATAGCTTTACACACTGATAGAAAGAAAACTATCGTGATTACTCACATTCATTTTGCAAGGATATCTCTTTGATTGCTGAATAACACAATGAGTATTCATGATTCTACTAGTAGTTTAGTTTACTATGTTTGTGTATTACTTTTGAAATCATTATTGCCACTTGCATTTAAAATGATAATGTAACCGCCGTATATGATGTTTTTTAAATGATGGAAAGACTCTGATTAAAACAGAACGACGGGACTGGACGGTAGCTTGCAATAACCACTACCGTCCTATTAAACCAACAGAGCGTGAAACGTTTTCAATTTTTTCGTTTTGATTCCAATTTTTTCTATTTTAGTACTGTTTTAGTATAATTTTTGTAAATAGTTTAAATAATAATATCTTTTGTTACGGTAAAACACATTTTCGTACTACATATAACATCTTATATACGCACATAGTTGTGACAGCCAATAACTTGTACACGCTATTGACTAAACGAACATTCTTGGGGAAAGGCGAAAACTTTAAGATGGCTTCGGATTACGTTTTGCCCTTCTAAGAATAATCTAAGATTTCATTGAATCATTACATCGAGTCAGCCCGCGTCTGTTTAATGAGGTGAAAGGTTGACTATTAAACAAGCATTTTTTCTCTGTTATTTACAGGAGAATGTCTAGGACCGCTTGTTTAATGAGAAAGAAATTTTCAATAAATGTCAGGATGCGGAGACCCTTTCTAAATATATGGTCTTAATTATTCGCTATTTACATACAGAAATAAGAATTAGACTGCAATAAAGTGTCATTATTCCACCCCATACATCAAAAAACTGTTGAAAGTATTTCCGAATTAGTTTGATAACATGGCACATAGCGTATAAAAATTGGTATTACTGCCCCTCAACATTAAGAGTTAGTGGTGTTTTCATTAGTTTAATTCTAAATAAAGTGTCCTCATTTCTTACGAAGACAAAGTTATTACTGAAAAGGAAAAGTAAATTTTAAAAGCAAATATATATTATCATAAAAACGTCTTGAAAACACAACTTTTCCAATCCCCTCTTTCATAAAACTGACATTCCATGTTGTTTTACAGATTTAATTTGTGGCTTTTATTGTTTTAATTCAACGTTGCAGTTAAATTAAATTTTATATATAAAATGGTCACGTAATGTCTACATTCAATTTAATTATACTTTGTACTTTTGTCGATATTTGTTTTAGTTTGTCGGTCACAAAGAATAACTGAGCTTTTCTTTTATTTCAGGTGTGTTTCTGCTCTGCTGGTGGCCTTTTTTCACAGTGAACATTATGCGAGCAATATGTCTCCGATATCAAGTGTTAAATTATCCATCCTGCGACATTGACCCTTATCTAATGGGATTTTTTGTTTGGTTGGGCTATATCAACAGTTTCTTGAATCCTTTAATTTATACCATATTTAACCCGGAATTCAGGAAGGCTTTCAAGAAAATACTCAGCGACCCTTTAAAAAAGAGGTATTGAAAAAGGTGGCTAACAATTTAGAATCAAATCCGTTACATTCATTATGCGACAATACTTTAGAAACATGACGCAGTTCGAAAAATTTGGACACATGTCAATTGTTGACATTTTGGATACATGCCAAAATTTGACGATCTGGAAACATGCCAAGTATATATAGAACAAAGAGAAATTCAAACATTTTGAGCCATATTTGGCAAAGGAGCATGTGAATGAAAGTTGTTTCTAAGATCAGATCTCTTGCGTGATTGGTGAAAACTGTGATTAATGTGTTTTATAGTTATTTCTTCTAATCATAATTATTCTAAAATAGAATGATTTATTTGGAATTCAAAATTTAAAAGAAAGATTTCCATTTACAATATGAGACAATTCACATTTGAGCTTCATATGTTGTACATGCATATCATTTGCATCTTTTTTCATTGTCGGTTGCAGCAATAAGATACATGTTGCTGTTGTTAGGTCCTTCGATTCTAGTTTCAGTATAATGAAATATATTGTTTTCTTTTAAATTTTATGTCCGATCTCATAGTCAAATAATTTTGAAAATCAATTGTGATAAAGGCAAAGCATAATTAAATATATGATAATCTCACGTAAGTGCATCATATATCCAGGCGGCTTATTTTTTATATCAGACTAAAGTTTATGAAACTTAAGCATTAACTTTATATGTCCATGTCTACATTATTTTAAACGAATTTCGTTTTTAGGTCCTTACCGTGCCAAGACACATTGATTTTATTATTTAAAACATTGCAAATCTGATTTAAGGTTTTTACGTAACATATATTTCTATCTCAAAAAATATTTTTCCAGAGAAATTAATTAAACGTGTTAGACAGCATTTTTATTGCAGCAGTTGCCAAAATTAAGGAAAGAGGCGGCTTCAATATATGGCTTTTATAGAAATGAGCACGGTATTGTTAACGATCAAATGTTTGGATAGATTTCTGATTTGATGTGCCAAGACTTAATGAAAAATCATAAAATATTAATCTGATTGCCCCCAGGCACGTATCTTAGATTCTTACAAAGTGCTTGTTTTATTGGTACGGAAGCAGCTTTATCTTTCTATCGTTTTTAACGTCAATGTTTTTGGATCGTAAAGCTCGCTGGATACATGTAACAATAAGAGAAAAGCTGCAATAGGAGACAATGAGGTTGTCTTAGGTCGTTAAAAGCTTTTATTCTACCAAAACACATTGTGTCTTTGTCACGTACAATGGTGTATTAACAGAAGAATACATGGGGTTTTCTTCACTTTTATCTCCGAGTTTATCATTTTGTTATGTACTTTCCGATTATGGAATATTCTACAATCGATTATAATATATGTTAACACGTGACATTTTCGAGTAATGGAACATGATTTTATACATCTATTATCGGTTTGCCGCACTGAAATCATATGTTCATTTTAGATACTAAACATACAGTACCTGATGTAACTACATATTAAAAGCATGATGTGGGTAAATAACATTTTTTATATTGTGTTTATTGATAACAAAAAGTATATGTTTTTGTGAAGCATTGTATTTTGTCCGCTTTTTTGGTGACGACAATCCAAAAGACTGGATATTGAGAGGAAATTACGTTAAACTTTATTTAATAAGAAATGTAACATAGTAATAGTTTTCTTTGTTTGCCAAAATATTTATCGTGTCTGGAATAATTTAGAAAATATTTGCGAGATAAATAGTTTTCATGTTTTCTCAGCTTAATTATATGCAACAATATCAAATTTCTAAGCAAACAGCAGATTATATCATATACCCCCGGTGTGTTCTAAAGTATAGGTCCTATTCGGAATACTGGACGATTTAATATGTGATATTTACCACAAAGGAGACATCTTTTATGTTATTTAAGGCACAAAGTAGCATTAAGTCTACATGTTTAAATTGTTATACCGCATATACCATCAAAATCAAATGTATTTGGTAGAGAATAATATGAGTTACCTAAATAATGTATTGTAATCGAGCTAGAGTCAACGCCAATATTTTCTTTTAAACGTAAATGCACATTATGCCTCAGAAATGCATTTTTTTTCTTTCTGAAGAAAGGACCAACACGATCTTTATACTGTTTAAATGATGATTACATAAAGATCTTGTTAGATGCTCAACACCTGGAGAATGTAGCACTTAATCTTCAAAATTTGTCGTAAGGTAGCAAAAAGTAAAAAAGGTATTATTTTGATTATCGTACAAAGCACTTTATTACTATAAATACATTTATTGACAAAAGGCACCAGGAGTAAAAGACGGTTCAAAGAAATTGGCAAATGAGTAATTTTTAGGAACAAAAATTGAAAGCTTTTCAGAAATAAAAATAAAAGAACTACTGGAGAATAATTTGCCTTTTATTAAAAAATGGCGAAGGTAAATTTCATATGTATTACTATTGCATATTGTCTTTTTAGAAACTTCACTTGACTCTTTAAAGTTATGTTAGTATTATAATATAACTGTCATGTTAACAGAAGGTAGAATTGATTGAAAGGTAATTACTTAAATTGGACAAATGACGCAGAATATACGATGCTTTGTATTTAGATTGTTATATTAAAGCAATACATGTAATATTCTAGTATAATGTATTAAAATAGTTTAGGGTCATTTTCAATTACATGTATTATTGAATATAGCATGTAGACATTTAGCAGCGATAATGTCAGTTGACGCCATGTTTGTTCCCTCTTTATACTTTATGACCATAAAGATTAATAAATTACAATTGTCAACAATAAAACAATTTTTTTTAAATGGTTATATGAACGTTTCTACTGCTATTAAACACTGTTGTCTTACATTTTTTCATCAATAAGTATCATTTGTAGATTCCAATATTTAAACACTTTGAAGTAAATGTATTTAATATAATCTATACACCTGTTTATTATAGCAGTAGGTATTTTGAGTATTTATCTTTTTAGTGCATCTTAATCCATGAAAATTATACAAGTACACGGAACTTTGTGATCTAGTTTATTTTGATTATATTTTAATCCTTTTTTAATTGAGACAGACATATCATGATGATTATTCCTTACAAAACACTGCTAATTACGAACTATTTTCAATATTCATACGCATGTTTTGTATTATAGAAAACACTGACAATTATCATTTATGTGTGGGTGTATAAAATAAATGCATTGAAGTAGTAGTAAACCTAGTACAGACAAATGTTAGATAAATACAGTATGAATTAATTGTATATAAATTGAATTGTTATTAAATGTACTGTATGTAAATACATGAGAAATAAAATGTTAACATAAACGTGTGTTTTTCTAAATGAGGGTAAACTAAGAAAAAACAAGATCAACAAGGAAGGGCGGCGTTCAATGAACGCAGCCTCCACACGACCCAGTAACACAGGACCACCAGCAAGGAGCAAGGACCCCAAATGACATCACAAGAAAAACATCATTAAAGAAAACATCAATTCAAAACAACATCACAAGACAAATATCTGTAATTTAAAAGCTTAAATGATTGCTTATATACGTTTAAAGTTTAATATTATAGGACAGCTTATTAAAGATCTTGTTTGTCGTAATTAAGGTTGTAACCACACTTAAGTGAAATTTTATATATGTATATAAATATGCTTCTTAAACAATTTTCGAACATCGAAGAATATGTAAAATATGTACTGCAAATATTTGTCCACATTATACATATATGTAATCATTAAAGTATATGCATTTATTTCTAATTGGAAAAAAATGACTTAGACTTTATAGAAAATAAATTTATAATTACCTCCCTTTATTAACATGAAATGTAAATTCGGTGATATCTTTATAAATAATGTTTTTTTTGGAACTTACAATATTGTTAATTTTCATTTGAGCATTATATTTATGATATAAAACCATAAAAAATTGAGTAACAGGATCTTTAAGCACTCGTATATAAATACAATAAGACAGTAAGATAGCTTGGTCTCAAAAGTGTAGTTTTACACCAGTACGCTGTTGCATCTTGTGAAAAAGAAACAACAATCATAGTTTTATTTTAATTCTTTGATTCTAAACACTACATAATAATCGGATTGTTTGTCATAATAAAGTACCGTGCAAACTGAAAATTTCAATACATTTATGATATGTAACAATATCTGTTTTACATAAACCTTTTACGAAAACTACTAGTAGTATATGCCTTAATTGGTTAATTACATTTAAGTTTAAAATGATCTGTAATAAACCCCGTCCGTATTTGCTTATTCGTGTGCAATTTTTGTTGTGTGCTTTTAAGGTGCTCATCTGCTTCTTGCATTTCTTGATAAATACGTTGAATGTCAACCTTCTTGGCTGATTTTTCCTGTCATATTTTTACGTTATTTAAATGAAAATGAATTGTAAGATTCCAACGGCATAAGACAAGTACTTAATTAGTTTTGCATTCAAACTGGACAAAACAAGACATCGTAGTAGTAACAAAATTAAATGGACACTGTTAAATGTCTCAAAGTCTTTCTCTGCAAATATGTCGTGAAGGCAGTAATGTGGAAAAAAAATTATTAAAGATCGCATCAAATGCCATTGCTGGTTAATATTGACCCTTGTTTTATCATATATGAGAAGTGACGATCTCCCGACTTGACCATAATGTTAAATATTTGGCTACAATATAATTTCCCTGTAGTATAAAGATAAGGTCGCTTTCTGACGGATCGAGCTTCTTATCGTAATGTCATTAGGCTGATGTGTGTCTTTTGTTCGATTTTTATGTAAGTATATTTACATCTTATCCGCATGGGATCACAGTTACAGTGGCCTGCATTGACTTTTCATCCATTCCTTAGTTAGAGAACTAAATCGTTTTACTGTTGTACTTTTTTTCTTTTGGTGACAAATATCGGGTAGATTCCAAACGTCTAGAAAAATAATTATATCCGCATTGATATATCGTTATGCTGATAATAAATAATCCTCATAAGGAGATGAATATTTATCCGAATATTTGTTGTTATTGTTTTTTAATATTTCACACCAACTTTACTTGAACTTGAAAAACAAATGTTATGTTATTAAATAAGTAAAGATATTTAAAATGTCAGATGGTACACCGATTATGTTCAATGATATCCTGCACGCATGTAAAACAATTTGTTTTTAACTTACAGCATAGACCAAATGGCCCTCTTAGCCGAGTGGTTAAGATCGCTGAGCCCAATTTGCCTTTTTTTCCCTCACCCCTGACTACTCACACCCTGACATCACCTTTAAGCTATTTTTTCTATTTCTCTTGTCCGAGATAAACTTTCTGCCGAAGATTGAACTTTGCTGCCTTTACATATTTGACATTTCAAATGTCATCTGTACTTTTAAGACATAATAAAGAATGATTCACATGTTTATCATTCCGTAAAAAGAACAAAAAAACAGATTAAAAAGACATAAATATTCAAAAAACCTTGTGCTCTATTCGTAACGTAACGAAACGTGTCTTGTGTAAGTGTCATGCATATTTTTCATATGTTGTTTTTTTGTATGTGATGTTTTAAGCAAACAAACACGACAAAAGACCAAATAATTACCGACATTGCGTGATAAACATTTATCTTCATCATATTTTTATACCAAAAGGTTTAATTTAAAAAACTGTTTGATATTTGAAAAACACGAATTATTCTATGATCTCCCAACCCCCAAAACACAAATTTACAATGAAAAAAGAAACTGCTATGTCTATCAAAAAATTTCAAAGTTTATTACTAAACGAGGGAAATTCTTATGTTTTATTTAAAAAAACATATAGGGACATTTACACATAATTTTAAAAATATACAAAGTATCAAAATTTATACAAATATTAGAAATTATTTCCATATGAGTCAAAAAATGATAGACACATAAAACTATACTTTTAAGTACATTTTATAATAAATACCTAATAGGAATATTGTTAAGAATTTTTTGATTTTTTTAAAACATTTTAATTTTTATTTAAAAATTTTATTTTATTTAAATTTTCCTTTTTTCAGGGTTTTGGGAAATTTCCCATGTTCAAAAAGTTAAACCCTTTTAAAAACGGGCAATTATATTTTTTTACAAACTTGTCTTTGAGAACTTCAAGGCCAGAATATGCAGCATTTTTTAAATTTTTTAATTCTTGTAAAATTTAGTTTTAGCTTTTTTTATTTAAAGGACCCTTCATTTTTTTTAAATTTTTATTACGAATTATTATTTACCCCCAGAAAAAGGGCCCCTTTCTAAGAGCCCCATGTGGGGAAAAAACAAAACTTTTGTATTTTGTTTCTCGGTTAAAAAAGATTTAAATTACAACTTTATTTGTTTCGTAAAAACAGATTTGGGCCTTAACTTTTCTATGAAAAAGGGTGATATGAATGTATTGTAAGTTTTTTAAGGTTTAAACAAAGGTTTGAAATCGTTTATTAGCGGAATGGTTTACTTATCAAAATTATCTCAAAAGATGTGTGAAATATCGCCAAATATTTTGCATCATTTTCTCTTTTTTTCAGGTACATTGATTGTTGTACCTTATATGTTTATAAGACGACAATCATTTCTGTTAGAAAGAGGTTGATAGTGAAACGACATAGGTTATTCGTACATTTAAGTGAATATAGAAATAAATTTGAATCTATATTCTGTTTGTTTCACGTGTCTTTTTTAAGCTATTTAATTCATACAGTCTTAGACAAGTTAGATTAGTTTTCTGAGATGTTAGAATAAATGTATACAATTTCGTTATTTTTAATATAAATTTTCAAATAATATAGTTTAATAAAACTTACGTACCAAAAAACACACTTTTAATCTATTAAAATCATAAATCATTAATCCAGTTTATAGTTGATTCGGATAAACCACTTCAAAATGTTGACGTGGGAAACTCTATTTAGCCGCAACAATATCAAGTATATAAGATGATGCAAAACGTAAAGCTAGGTTTCATTAGAACAGAACAGAACAGAACAGATTTTATTACACATAAACTGTATAGTTTCTAGTGTTTAACAATGAATAATACATATAATATAATAATAAACGATACATATAGGATGAAAAATGAATGAAATTATTATATATAACACAATAATGGATGAACTTATATTTTCTTAAGAGATCTTATTAGAGAACAACGCTTTATTAATAAATAAACGACACGCGAATCATATAGTTACAATAAAAGACAACATTCCCTTTCATGTTAGAAATAATTATTATAGAGTCTGTGTAATGTATGTTTTTGTCAGTCGTGAGACATGCAAGCTTGTAATATTTTAACGTGCCCTTTAATCAAAGCAAAATATAATACTATAATTAAATGATGAATGATACCTCTTCAAATATTTTATTTCTTTAGAAGATTTCAATCTGTCCCTACCGGACATGATACCGCATCTTATATGTTTTGTTATGTCCTTAAATGTTTTAGTAATTAAAAGCTGAATGAAATATCAATATCATCTATCAAAATTGAAGTTATGCAATTATCACAAAGTGTTTGTTTTTGGAAGCAAACAGATTTATTTACTGGCCTTACTACGCATGACAAAAAAGCAGTGACGTAATACATGACAAAAGACAATGCGAAACGTAAAACTAAAATACGACAAAACATATAAAAAAGAGAACAATATGACACGGAATGTAACAATGCGATGTTTCGCATTGCTGACAAGGCGACACAAAATGTAACAATGCCATACGACACACGACAATGCGACTCGAAATTTGTCAATGCAACACAACATGTAACAAAAGCGGCACGACGCAACATTTTGACTTTGTTTTTAAATAAAATTGCTTGCGTCGTCCTGAATGAGCGATATATTACGTGAAACCGAATGTTGCAGTATAATGTTTTATTTCTTAGAGAATGCATCAAGTTAATATGAAGCATAACAAGTTTCATACATTCAATCTATTTGCGAGTTTAAATATAAGGGCGTTACATTGTCTTGTTTGTTTGTTTAATTCTTGTTTGTTTGCTTGCTTGCTTGCTTGCTTGCTTGCTTGTTATTTTGTTTGTTTGTTTGTTTGTTTGTTTGACCAGGCTGACAGGTACTGAAATGCTCATGGTCGTGACAAAACTTTTATATTTAGCTGCTCTCTGTTACTTGTGAACAACCCATATTAGACAGTTAACAATTTACCGAAAGTAAACTGATTAATTGTGAAATTTTGTATTTTGCAAGGTTATATGATGGTGTTTATCAATACATCAACATTTCCCCGTTTGTTGTTTGTCACAAAACAAAACGCTAGTATGTCATAGCATTATATAAATCTTTAAATATT